TTGCAGACAGCTGGTCATTTGCATTCTTTAATAGAGTCATTGCGGCCACTTGGGGGTTTTCTGTGCCTCAGGGTCACTTGAGTAGTGGAAATGGGTGTGGAGCCTTCATGGAATTGCTGAAAAGACTGTATAGTGGAGCTGTCTGCAGGGTGCTTTCTGCCCTGTGTCCTTCATTGTGAACACAGGCACAGGCTGTTGGGAATGAGTCCGTGAGATCTATGAGATTTATCTATGAGCCTATGTTTAACAGTGAATGGACATTGGGAAGAAAACTTCATTTTAAGAGCATTTTAAAATCATGTAAGTATATATGTTTGTGTCAGTTAACTAATCAATACAAGAGCTTCTGAAACAAAACCGATCCCACATTAGGAAGATGCTTCAGCTTCCATTCTACTTTAGAAATGAAGTATGAAAGATGGAATGAATGTATGTTACATTCCTGTTAATTTTGCAAGCTTTCAATCTACAATAGTGTTTATATTGATGAAACTTCAGCTCTAATCCAAAATTTGTTTCCATCTGGAAAACTCCTATCTGCCTCTAACATGCCATATACTATTGCAAAAATTGTTATTTTTTAATTGCCTGGCTAGGTGGCTCAGTGGCTAAGATGCTGAGCTTCTTAGAAAGAAGAAGCTGACCTCAGAAAGGTCGGCAGTTCGTTGATTCGAATCCCTAGTATAGGGTCTCCTGCATGAGTAGGGGGTTGGACTAGATGACCTCAAAAAGCCCCTTCCAACTCTGTTACTGTTATTTACTAGAGTATTAAAAAATCTTTTAAGTACATGGCCATTGTGCATCTCAATCAGCTATGGATGGGCAATTTTGGAATTAATATGTCAAGAAAGTAATAGAGACAAAGGGTAGCAGTGATGTCAGATAGGTAATATATTATGGACATGGCTGGAAAATTATTTTTATGGGATTCTTCCTTTGGGGGACTATTGACCAACTCAAAATATCAGAAGACCATGCTGTCAAACTTTGGAATTTGAATCATCAGAGTGAACAATATGGCCAGATAACTCTCCAGTGATCATAGCATGTAAATATGAACCTGTTGATGCAAGTTATCTACACTGAATTTTCCAGGTTGGCAGGGGGGAGGGGATCAAGTTAAGAAAGCAGTAGGCAATGGTAGATTAATATATAAACCAGTATTTTGCAACTTTCGCAACTTTAAGATATGTACACTTCAATTTCCAGAATTCTGCAGCATCTGAAGAACTGAAGATTCTCCATAAACAAGACCAACATGACATAGTCATAGCAGGTGGCAACTAGGTACTTTATAATCTGTGACGGCATAGTCCATAAAGTGTAGCCAACACAGGCAGCCAAAATCTTAATCTTTCCACTATTCATCCTAACATACATGTTTATTTTTTCACTTCTTTAAAAGACATTTTTCTTTACCTCTTTTAATCATTATCTAAGCTACAGTAACACATTCACTAGTACTGTGAAATATAATGGCTTGTCTGAAAAAACTAAGCAAAGACTCTACCATGATTTGTCAACAGGTCATTGCAAAAAGAAAAAAAAAATCACGAATATATCAAAAGTGGAACAAAAGCAATTCTCAGGTTGACCGTGCGAGACGCAATCAAAACACAGCAGCACCCCTTTCAGCTCTTTTTGGCACGCTGGTTTATTCGCGTCCGTGGACGGCTACACGCTGTGACTCGTAAAGACGAATGAAATCGGTGCTACAGTGTAGTAGAAACGGGCGTTTATATAGCCCTCCCTTCTCATTAACCCTTTTAAACCGCGCCCCCGTTTATCACCACACCCTTGTTAGCGCGGAAGCGTCTCAGCTGGTTCTCGAAGGTGCTGGTTGCAGTGTCATTTGGAGACGTCCTAATCCCGTCGCACCCGATACCACCTCCCCTCGCCCCGCAGACAGCCGCCTGCACCCAGTGCCACCACCACCAAGTATGTATATGTCCCTCGATGCTTTCAACACGTGTTAGCGGTGTCGAGCAGGTTGCTAGGCTTGACAGCAATCCCATTTCTAACCCTGTATTGAGTGCCAATGTATTAAAATATTTCCTTTACTATTATTATTTTCACTAGATTTTTTTTAAAAAAAATGATTCTTAGCTGGACCCATATTTTCTTTCCTTAAGTATTTACCTTATCAATCTAGCACCATGAAAAAAATTAAAATGTCTGAAAAACCATTTGTTACAGCTCTTTATCTTAAGATAGTACTTTCAATTAGACTTAGTTTAAAAGGTTATACCTTTTTATTTAGTATATGTAAAGTCACAAACCTAATCTACCCTCTACTCTAAATTTACATATATATTATCTACCATTGACAGTTATATATTTCCAGCCAGATTGATATTATTTATTGTGTTCATATATTTCTGTTCTGCTGAAAAACAATAATGGTAGTATGAAATACAGTTGGCAGGAAGCAATGACTAGCATAAAAATAACTCATATTGCTGTATGAGTGAATATTTCAATCCAGATCTTCCCAATTAGATTTAAATATTGTAATCAGATCTGAGACAAGTAGAATCCAATATTTTTTCTAATAGAATCTGAAATTAACTAACCAGGACAAAAGACACCGGCACAGAATTTTGAGTAGCAGAGCTGTTTTTGCCAATAGATTTCTTTCTACTTTCTCATTTTTATTTTATTTTATTTTATTTTTTTGCCACCTACACATTGTATTCTTTGCTGAATTGCTCTAGATTCCTCCAACTGGAAAATCTGAAGGTAAAAGAAAGAGACCACCAAATCGCCAAATATTCAATTATACTATATGGCATTTTCGTAAGATCCTTTCATAAGTTATATTTTGAATATGTATTTCATATGCTGTAAGTATAGGTTGTTCCATTTACCTACTGTTTTATGGTATGATAAAAGTAAAATCTCTTCTGATTCAAGCTTGATATTTTTTTCCATGGATGAAGGAAGGAAAAAAGTAATGGTTTACTAGTCATAAAATAGCAAAACATATCCATGTAGTTCCTTGGCATCACTATGGAAGTAGTTTGCCATTGCTACCTTTCAACATTTTTTTCCCCTTCCAATCCTAGTCTAATATACAACTGGGGATAAAACCTGGGCTAATAATTGTATTCAGTAGATGATGTTCATAATTCAGCCAGTCAGCCAGAACAGAAGCTGAAGGGAATTTTGACAGCAAGTTATGCCTTCCATTTTCTGCCTTTCAAAAAAAAAAAAAAAATATGAAAGTCCCATTTGAACCTTGAAAGTTTAAGATAAATATACAGTAGTTGTTCAGATCTTCAATTATTCTACTAAACTAGATGTTTAAAACCATACACTTCATTAGAAAAAAAATAAGTTACAAAGAAAATCTATTGTATCAAATGGACTCAGAATTGGCATTTTGAATGATTGAAGGAGTTTTGAAAATAGTTTCAATTTTTGTGAACACAAATTCTATAATTTGATGACATTTGTGACATGATGGATCATCTATAATACAGAAATGATGATGAAAATATATCTGAGAGCAAAATATAGAAATACAATGAAAGGGGAAGTGTAGCAGAAATTACATCACTGATCTGATCTTGAAGGAAGAGAAATATTTCTTGGTGTTGTACCATAAAATAGTTTTCAATTTATTTTCTTTAAAGACATTGCCTTTTATGGCTATACAATTTGCATACAAAAAGCAGATTGTTTTATCCCTTTTGGCAAAATTAAAACTGAAATGTAAACCAGATTCCATACTATATACTTGAGATGGATTTGCAGCTTGATATATGTGTAGATGTGTCTTTTGAGGTTTTAAGATGTTGGCATTGTGTTTAAATAAATTGTTTTAGCATGCACACCAAGCAGTTCAGTTCAATATTAAATTTATATTTAGTTTAGTCACTTCTTTTGAAGTATAAATTAGTATTGCAAGTTGGCAAAGGACTAATATCAGTGCTTCAAAACAGTTATATAAGATTCAAGCTTGTCCACCCCAAGGATAAAACACCCAGACACAAACTGAGCAACATAGTATATGCAGTACAATGCAGTGAGCCATGTGTAGATCTGTACATAGGGAAAACAAAACAACCACTTCATAAACACATGGCACAACATAGGAGAAGAAACCCATCAGGACTAGATTCAGCAGTCCATCTGCATTTAAAAGAAAAAGGCCACTCTTCTGAACACAGCAAAGTCCACATTTTTGACAGAGAGGATCACTGGTTTGAAAGAGGGGTCAAAGAGGCCATTTATGTCAAAATTGAACAGCCCTCTCTCAATAGAGTATGAAAGAAATGACATCATCTATCTCCAGTCTACAACACAGTCCTTTCAACAGTTCCAAGAAGGCTCCATGCCCATTTGCACAATGACACAGCTAAACCTCCAGGTGACCTTAACAACTTGCTAAAAGAATGCAAATGATCAGCTGTCCACAAGGACTATAAATTCTTCCATTCCCCACCATCCAATCAGAACTGAAGAAGCTTCTTGTATGAGAGGGGAAATATCTTCAAAGAAAAACCAGAAAGTCCAGTTGCCTCTTGAAAAAGCACCTTTGGGACCCTCTATGAATCCAAAGATGTCATATTCACCAAGTTTCACTTGTGAATTATTTTATCTCTCCAGGAATTTGTTGCAGAAAAAGTCTCTATTTTAAGTATTAAACTTTTAGAATCAACCTCTTCTGAAAAATGAGGAACAGACAGGTACTATTATATCAGTGGTGGTTGCCCCTGGTTCGCACCGGTTCTATAGAACTGGTAGTAAAACCGGCAGGAGGCTCCGCCCACCAACCCTGACGTCATCAAAATGCTTCTGCACTTGTGCAGAAGAGCGCGTGGCCCCACTGAGAACCAGTAGTAAAGGTAAGTAGAACCCACCCCTGTATTATATCCGACTTTAACTTGGGCACTACATCTTTTGGATATGGAGTCCTTTTTAATCTAATCTAATCTCATCTAATCTAATCTAATCCAATTTTAATCCAATAAAAAAAGCTCATTAAGTATTGCACTTTTACTCTCTTCTATAAAATGACCCTGTTTTGTGACCCTAGTTTGGAGAAACCCAGTTGTTTACCAATTTGAAACTTTTTAAGAATGGGATTTGTACGAGGACCTTACTAGCAAACAACCCTGAGCCTAAATGGGATTTGATTATATTGACCATCATTTAGGCTGAGGGCAGAACTGAAATGACCTTATCTATTTTCTTCATTTATACTGCTAGGTTTAAGAGTTTTCCTAATTATATCATGATATTAAGGACCCTGGAGTCGGCTTTTTGGGACATCATTTCTATAATGACAAAGGTGACAATATATTCTAGACAGCAGGCAAAGAAGAAACAATGATGTGGATGATCTGAGACAATGCAGCTTCTGAAGTGGTTGGAAAACCCATCAACTATGATGTAAGTAATCAGCATCAGAATACAAGGCTAGAAATATTCTAAAATTGTAGTAGGGACTTCCCCTCCTCCATCTCAAAAGAAGTGAAAAAAAAATCCAGTTGTTTTTTTTTTTTTTTTTGCTGCGTTCTTAGGTATCGAAGACCCATCCATTTAGCATTGCAGCCTTTATTCTCCTCCAAAAGTATGAAATGAGAGGTAATGTCTCCATGTTCCACAATCATGAAATCATAAAATTTCAGAAAGTCATCCTTTTAGAAGCCACTCATGACATAAAATTTAAAATAATTTTATTGAAAGGTACCATCAAATTAAGTTATCTTTAAAACACTTTCATTTTTTGCTGGTTTGTGCTATGGGAAGCACTGTTAAATAAAACTAGTTGCCATGCTGAGATGTATTGATAGCATTAAGTAGTGCTAAGGAAATTGTGACCCTCCAAAGATTGCTGAAATAAGGCTTCCAACTACCTCAGCTTGCTTAGCTAATAGTAAGTGATGCAAAGAGGCATAGTTAGGATCCCCAACCTTGTTTTATAGCACAGGTGTCAAACTTGCGATGTCACATTGTTATCACATGACACATTGCAACTTTTGCCCCTTCGCTAAATCGGGGGTGGGGATGGCCAGAGCGTGACGCATCCAGTCTGCGGGCCGTGAGTTTGACACCCCTGTTTTATAGCATAGAATGGTTGTGTTGGCTGGTGGATAGTGACGAGATGTCTAAAACATCTGGAAGATCCTAGGGTGGAAATGAAAGGCATGCAGGCTGTAGTGATTTGCTTACCTGGAAGCAGACCACATTTTAATACTAATACATTTGAGTAGATACATATAAATTACTCTCTTCATTGTGTATTTACAGTAAATTAAGTGTTGAAACCAATTGGAATCAAAATACATGATTTTATTTGGATTATGATTCTCAATTCTCTGTTCAATTTAATTTTCTGATTAGTGTACATGTCATAGTTATTTCAGACAAATTGCATGGCTCAAAATACTTTCAAAATCCAAGCAAAAATAATTTAAAAAAGGAATAAAACACTACACGCTATACTTTTTCATTTAAGGTTATAACAAAAAGATTCTAGTAATTTACAGAATGCTAATTCTCTTCAAGTTCTTAACTCATTGGTGGTAGAATCTACAAAGAAGGAAGAAAGGTATAATTTGTTTTTGTTTTTACAAATGAATAGTTTAGTGACTACAAATTACAAATGACCCTTTAATTTCTTCATGCTTTTAAAAGTAGCTTAAAGGGAACACAGATGTGAAATGCCTGCATTGTTCAAAGGAAAAGCAGTTCTGCACAAAATGATTAATGTCAAATCATTTGACCTCAAATCTAATAAGAATTTGAGTGACAAGTCTGACACACATACATACATATATTCTTCGTAAAATGAAACTCTTGAAACAAATTTATAATGGCTACTTCATATTGTTTCTCACAATATTGTTTTAATTCTTGCTAAATTCAGTAACCTCAATTGTCTCTTGGCAAATATATCCTCAGGGGCTGTAACAAAATTAGAAGCAAATTGGGAGGTTAAACTTTAGTTTCATCTAGCAGTGTAAACTCACATTTGCAATTTACTAAGTCTGAAATTTGTAACTGAGATTCTAATAATCTTTTGCCATTTCTGAACTCAACAAACCTGTATAAAAAGTCTCTCCATTCTCTTAAAGGTACAGACCTCAGATTTAATCAGAATAGATTAAATTTGAGAATAGATTGAATTTGAGAAAAATTGCTGCATAAACTGTTATTTTAATTAATAGGAATGAATCAAATTACTATCTTCAGACTCACAACGGTTGTAGCTATGGTACTGTTCAAAGTGTTCCCAGCAGCAGTTTTAGAGAGGAGTTTTAAGGGCATTCCATTTAAAACTAAATTTTGCCCAGGCAGAGAAGAGGTCAGTGAAACAGAATTGTTACATTTCAAGCAAACGTAACTATAAAAATTAATTATTTATGGAAACCAGAGCAAAGGATGCCCTGTTGTAAAAAAAATGTAATAACATGAATAAGTCCAAAAATCATGTATTATGAGCTTAGTTGGCCTTGATCGTAGAAACTGTTTTTTGCTCAAGTAGTAGATAAGTGGATGAGATTAATGTTTTGCCATATATGATGTGGATTACATCTTTGGTAGGACTAAGTAAGTTTTCTGGTTGCCAGAAAAAGCCTGCTTATTCTGTTTAGTCATAAATATTATTTCCCACTTGTCTATCACATATCTCCGTAGTGACCATTGTAATACAAGATGGGGCCTAGGTCTTGTGAACTTTTCCTCTGGATCTATGATTGGCCAAAGGTCCTAAGGTCATAGTGATCATGTGTTTTTTTTCCTCTTTCATACATGACATTGTTTGCTGTGAATGTCTGTAGTAACAGATGGGACTTATTAACAGCATGTGAAGCAAATTTTAGGGTGCTTCAAGGCTAAAAATGTCTTTGTAGTTAGTTGTGAAGGTCAACATGTGGTAGTTCAATGGGGAATAAACTCATCTCCCTGATGAGTTTCTTCCTACTGGACCAAAAAAAACCTCTTAAACATGCATAGAATTGAACCCACAGGGAAAAAAGGTGAAAAGACTGGACTTGGAAAAGTCCAAGAGAATTCCAAGAGAAAACTTGGAATTCAAACATTTATTTGGATGCAAAGTTTATCTGCTGAGTTCTATCTACAGCTTTCTTTGTTTTTGCTGAATGTAAGGATTACAGTCCCTTGAATGAATTAGGTACAGATCCATTTTCAAGGCTGTTTTTTTATTTTTTATTTTTATTTTTCTCTCTCTGCATATTTATAAGGATTTATAAGGATTACAGTCTTTATTAACTAAATAATCATGAGTGAAGTGAATATGATTTTTTGTATATATTGGATGTTCCTGAGAAAACTGAGTGGTCATTTTCAAAAGCTGTCACAATTGTCACTGGAGAATTTTAAACCTTTACTGCCTAGACCATAAACTTTATTACCTTGATAATAAGTTTGATTGCCCTGGGCTGCAATGATCACTCTACCCTCTTTTGTGGATTACAAATGATCAGACACTGCAATATTTTTTTACAATATTTCTTAATTTCTTAATATTTTAAATATATTAGTGGATTTTTGTGAACTACTTTTATATAATCAAAGGTTTTTTACACTAACAAGAAGCTGACATTTCATCTTTTACTCTCAGCTGAGATACTATTTTTTAAATTTCAGATACATCCAAATGGAACACAATAAGGAACAAACAACTTCTGAAAAAAATCACCCTATACAGTAAATAAACCTAAAGAAGAAGACTGATAGAAGCATGTCACTTTTAGAAGAAAAGAGCAACCAAGAGGAAAGCCCCTACTATCTACCCTAGTATCCAGTGAAGCCCCTCTGGAACTGAACAATTTCTTTCATAGCCTCCCCCTGGAAGAAAATATGCAGACACCCATAAAAGAGCAGTCACCAATAGTTTCTGAAAAGGAAACACAACCCAGCATTCATGTGACAGGAAGAATAGTATCCCAGTCTTCCCTAGGGAAAAAAAAGGTGAATATTGGTGATAGGAGATTCAATTATTTGAGGAACAAAAACTATAGTCTGCAGATCAAACAGTCAATCTAGAGAGATATGTCATCTCCCTGGAACAAAAATCAAAGATGTAACTGAGAACCTTACTAAAATAATCAAACTAAAATTACTGGTGGTAAAAATAAGTGAAACCCACCTCTGATTACTAACCCTTTCTTCTCCTACATGGGGGGACCAATAATACAACAATGAATCTAAAAACAATAACAAGAGAATACAAACAGCTAGGGAAGAAAGTTAAAGAATTAGGAGCTCAAGTGGTGTTTTCATCTATACTTCCAACAAAAGGCCAACCTCCAATTAGGGAGCAAAGGATTTTACAAACAAACCACTGTCTTAAAAACTGGTGTTGTCAAGAGAACTTCCATGGTCTGCATTTCCTATATAAAGGTCTAACTTGCAACCTCACAAAAACTGGAAAGAATATATTCAGAAAATGACTGGCTTATCTTATTAGAAGGGCTTTAAACTAAAACGGGGTGGGGGGGGGAATCTCCAAAACTTTTAGAATTTGATTCCAAACAAAAACCGATAGATAACCAATTATACAAGGAAGTAGGAAGTAAAAAGGAAGACAAAGGAGGAGGAGGAGGAGGAGGAGGAGGAGGAGGAGGAGGAGGAGGAGGAGGAGGAGGAGGAGGAGGAGGAAAAACACAGTGGAGTGTGATGGAAAGGATAGAAAACCCAGATACAAAGTAGGAGATATAAGAAACATACCCAAAACCCATAAAGGACTCAAAGGCCTATACACAAACACTCAAAGTATGGGAAACAACCAAAGTGTACTTGAAATACTAGTACATGAAGGTAAATATGAGATAGTTGCCATTACTGAAACATGGTGGAATGAAACTCATGACTGGAATGTACTGATGGAAGGATACAAACTATTCAAAAGAAACAGGCCTAACAAAAGAGGAGATGGTGTTGCATTATATATAAAATATCACTACATCTCTACAGAAATACACAAAACCAAGGGTGAAAAGTTCCTAGAATCCATATGGGTCAATATAAAAAGAAAAAAGAATGACATTGCTATAGGCATATACTATAGGCCACTTAACCACATAGAAGAAATAGATGATTTTTTTGCTAAACAACTAAAAAATGTGTATAGGAAATACACCACAGTAGTAATGGTACACTTTAACTACCCTGATATCAACTGGGAGACAAACTCTGCAGCAAGTGGGAGATCAAACAGATTCCTAACCAACCTAGCTGACAACTTTGTCATCCAAAAGGTAGAGAAGGGAACTAGAGGAAAATCTATACTGAATCTTATTCTTACTAATAAGGAAGAAATGATAGAGGGAATTGAATTTTTTTTTTTAAAATTTGATTTATATGCCGCCCTTCTCCGGAGACTCAGGGCGGCTTACAATGCGTTAAGCAATAGCCTTCATACTTTTGTATATTTTATACAAAGTCAGCTTATTGCCCCACAAACTGGGTCCTCATTTCACCTACCTTAGAAAGGATGAAAGGCTGAGTCAACCTTGAGCCTTGGAGAGATTCGAACCAGCAGTAATTGCAGGCAGCTGTGTTAATAACAGGGTGCTTAGACCACTGTACCATCAATGCTGGAACTTTGGGCAAGAGTGACCACATCTTATTGGAATTCAATATAATGCAAACACAAGCAATAGAATATAATACAGCCAGCATCTTAAACTTTAAAAGAGCTAATTTTAACAAACTCAGAGAGTGCCTAAGAAAAATTCAATGGATGAAAATCCTAAAGGGAAAAACAACTCAAGAAATGTGGGAAACTCTGAAAAATATGATCATAAAAGCCCAGTTCAACACGATACTACTGAAAAAGAAAAACAAGATATCCAAGAAGGAACCATCAAGATCTATTTGATAAACTGAAAGACAAAAAGGAGAAGTACAAAAAATGGAAAGAGGGACACATAACAAAGGCAGAATACCCATATATAGCCTGAATCTACAAATATGAAGTCAGGAAAGCTAAGGCTCAGAATGAACAAAAACTCAACAAAAATAAAATATAATAAAAGCAGTTTCTTTCAACATATAAATAATAAGAAATAAGTCAAGGAAACATTAGGTCCAATTAAGAGAGAAGTTGGTAACGAAGTAACAGGCAGTAAAGAGAAAGGAGACCTGCATCAGTCTTCACACAAAAAGAAATAAAAGCCCAACTAGCAAAAATCTAACTGGAAAAGACAGACTAGAAATAAAAATTAAAATAAGCAAGAAAATGGTTAGAGAACACCTATCTGATCCTGATGAATATAAATCACCGGGAATTGGTGATTTACATCCCAAAGTTCTGAAGGAGCTGGGAGATGTTATCTCAGAACCATTGTACTATATCTTTCAAAAATCCTAGAACACCAGGGAATTACCTGAGGTTTGAAAAAGAGCTGATATGGTTCCCATCTTCAAAAAAGGGAGAAAAAACAGACCCAGGAAACTACAGACCAATTAGCCTAACATAAATACCTGGGAAGATACTGGAAAAGATAATCAAAAACAGATCTGCAAACATCTAGAAACAAATAAAGTTATAACTAAAACTCAGCATGGGTTTGTTAAAAACAGATCATGCCAAACCAATCTTATTTCGTTCTTTGACAAAGTGAATAAATTAGTAGACCAGCAAAATGCTGTGGACATAGTATACTTAGACTTCAGCAAGGCATTCAACAAAGTAGATTACAACCTATTTCTTGGTAATCTAGAAAAATGGGGAATAGACAGCATCACCACCAGATGGATTTGTAACTGGCTGACAAACCATACTCAACAAGCTGTCCTTAATGGTATTACATCTACAAAGAGGGACGTAAGCAATCGGGTGCCACAGGGTTCTGTCTTAGACCCAGTACTCTTCAATATCTTCATTAATTACTTAGATGGGGGAATAGAAGGAGAACTCATCAAATTTGAAGATGGCACTAAGCTGGCAGGAATAGCCAACACCCCAGAATACAAGCTCATGATCCAAAAAGATCTTGATAGACTTGAACAATGGGCCCTATCCAACAACATGAAATTTAATGTGGAGAAAAGTATGGTTTTACACCTATGCAGGAAAAGCCAAAGGTACAAGTTCAGATTAGGCAAAACTTGGCTCAAAAACAGTAGGTGTGAGAGGGACTTTGGAGTCCTAGTGGACAGTCACTTCAGTATGAGTCAGCAGTGTGTGGCAGCAGCCAAAAAAGCTAATACAATCGTTGATTGAATAAACAGAGGCATGAAATCAAAATCACATGAATTATTAGTACCACTTTATAAAGCCTTAGTAAGGCCACACCTGGAATACTGCATCCAAGTTTTGATCAACATATTACAAAAAAGATGTTGAGACTTTGGAAAAAGTGTAAAGAAGAGCAATTAAAATGATTAAAGTCTGGAGACTAAAACAAATGAAGAACAGTTGCAGGATTTGGGTTTGGCTAGTCTAGAGGAAAGAAAGACTAGTGGGTGACATGATATCAGTATTCCAGTATTTGAGAGGTTACCACATAGAGGAGAGTGTCAACTTATTTACCAAAGCACCTATAGGAAGGACAAGAAACAATGGATGGAAACTAATCAAGGAGAGAAGCAACGTGGAACTAAGGAGAAACTTCTTAACAGTGAAGACAATTAACCAGTGGAACAGCTTGCAGTCAGAAGTTGTAGGTCAGGAGTGTCAAACTGGATTTCTTCAAGAGCCAGATCAGCATCGTAGTTCTCCTCTGTGGGCTGGCTGTGGGGAGGGAGATGCCTCCTGTAGCACCCTGCCAACCAAAATGGGATGCATGGGCACGCATGGCCCCCATGGCCCTTTTTTGGCCTGGACAGCCTCCTGCAGCACCCTGTTGGCCAAAATGGGGCACATTTTGGCTGCCAGAGACACAGCGGGCCGGTCCTTTGCTATTTCCAGACCGGCCCTGCAAGCCAGATTTAAGGTTCTCTTTCCTGAGTGGGGGGTTGGACTAGAAGACCCCCAAGGTCCTTTTCATCTCTATTCTGATTGATTGATTGACTGAAAGTCAGTCAGGTTAATTTGTGAGACATATTCTTAAAACAGGTTTTGCAAGCTGTAGTACAGGGGTGTCAAACTCGCAACAACATGTTGTCGTTGTGTGATGCATCGCAAGTTTTCCCCCCTTCGCTAAAATGGGGATGGGCATGGCCAGCATGTGACACTTCCAGCCTGTGGGCTGCAAGTTTGACACCCCTGCTGTAGTATATCTTTTGGAAGGAAGAGTTTTGTGCTAGTTTGAAATTAAATTAAGCAGTCAATGTTGAATGAAGTAACAGCCTATTGGCAAAAAAAATAATTTGTGAGTTTGAGATTATAATATTAGTATTTCAAAAGAGATTATGGATGAGAATTATCTTCCTTATATCATAGCTGCGAAATGATACCAACTCAGTCTCATAAAATCAATCTCAATATATATCTATATGTAGATATATATAAACATTGTATTGTATTAATAATTGCTATATTATACCATACCATTTTTATATTATATGCTGAAAAGGTTGGTCAGATATGATTTGGTCAGATTTAATTTATTTTCTTAGATTTTCATACACACACAGACACAGACACACACACACACACACACACACACACACACACTTCTGATTTCATTTATGATTGATATTACTAAGTATAGAAATAGACTCAGATGTTAAGGAATATGTGCATGATCTTCCAGAACCACTATATGTTTAAAAACAAGGAGATATCAATGTGAAATAAAAAAGGTCACATCAAAGTAATTGATCTTCAGTTCTATAGTCACTTCATCTTCTAAAAGTTGAATGTTCCTAAGGGACTACCAAGTGCTGTCAACTATATCTGCCCTTCTCAAACTTAAGGTTAACTGACTATGGTAACTGTGAATTTTAAAAAAATCTGCTTCCCTTTCCCTTCCCAGGCCATCACTGATTTATTGCATTAACGACTGTCAATTGGGAGTGGGTAAGAAAGGTAATATTCAAGACTTAAATATAATAAACAGCACTATTTACCTTTATCCAAGCTAGAGAGACATTTAATTACAATGTTCTTTCTGAAAAAAAACACTGCACTGAGAATTGACAAATATGTTTAAAGATTTTCTTAAGGCATGTACACTATCCTAAGCTATTTCTAGTGTATAGGTTAGTGAATATGAATGTGCAGAGTGCTGCAATAAATGAACTTCCCAGAAACATTAAATTTCATCCACAAATAATGACATCTGAATTGGGATAATAGTCTTACTGTCATAGAGAATGTGATAATAGAAGAAGAAGGTGTTAACGGTTAGCAGTAGGAGGTATCATTTATCCTCATCTTATTATTCTACAATGCCTCCTTAACTTAAACTCATATTCTCTTCAACCAACAGAGCACTTTATAAATCACAGAAAAGACAAAGGTTACTTCA